TAAATCAATTACCTGCAACAAATGTGCTTGGTAAGATATAACTTAGAACCAAAAGTTTGACTTGACTTCACGATAGTGTAACTTGTTGTACCACCAATCAATCTGTTTAGTAATATTGGTGTGAAACTCTCCATACAATTAGATAGGACATGTAAAGTTCTCAGATTAACTAATGCACATAAAAAGTTTAAAAATTTAAACAAAAATTACGATTTTTCAAAACAATATTATGGGATTTAAACTTGCACCATTTAATGCGGTAAACGGTCGCCTATCCTTACCGCTAAATTCCCCGTTGACAAATTGTTAAACAGCTGTTCCCTTGCAATTTATAATATTACTGCCTCGCTCCTTTATAAAAATAGCGTTATTATTATATTCTCAGAGTTAAATTTTTATTTTTATTTTAACTAATAACATGTCATTTTGTGCATTCAATTACGAAGAAAACCTTAATCAATATTGCTTACCTCATATAACATACGGCGTGATAATATGTAGTGCCTTCCTTGGTTCACAAAGAACATTTTTGCTGAATTTCAATTCAATCTATCCAGTAGTTTTCAAACAGACAAACAGACAAAAATTCTAAAAAGTCACTTTATGTTATTAGTTACGTTTTTCTAACAAAAGCCACTTATTTTTTTTCGAAAATACTCAATGTACAGTTTTTCTTTCGTTACTGTTATTACATGTATAGATGACACTATTGTCTCAGTACTCTTCTAATAATTAATTTAGTGAGATACTCGGATGTACCAAGGAAGCGGTTTACAAAGGGATCATCTATAAATAGACTTAGACGGAAATGCCGTGTTAGAGAGAAAAAGTAGTATACTCAATTTCGGTAAGATAATAAGAGATGACACTATTGCCTCAGTACTCTTCTTATAACCAATTTAGAGTGCGCGCGTCGGCGTGTTGCAAACGCAAACATTCAAAAATAATGCAACATTTTCAAAAGTGCATCTAACTATTTAAATCTTTGAACTCATGTCATTCTTTAAAGAGTTTGTTGAAGTTTGGTAAAATTGGGGTAGGATAGGAATTAGATTTGAGTCTAGCTCTAGCTGTTTACTTCATCTCAACGATGAGGCTTACAATGGTAGGTTATATTTTTTTAGAAGATAGACCATAGACTACACGTATCATCAAGTGGTCTTTGTGCTCGTTTGTTACTCTGTGTGGTAAGCTGTGGTTCATGAACACTTTATTACTTTTTTATTTGAGGAATCATAAAACAAATTGCAAGATTAGTTATATACGTATAGCAACCATTTAACCGCAAAACCACCAACCGATTAAATTCTTGCGTTTGTATTGGTGCTGGCAGATCAGATACGTATATAAATATCATACTTTTAATAACTATTATCGTAAATTATAAGAATAATAATACATATACATATATTTTACTTAAAACAACATGTTTAAAATTAATCATCATTGTATGGGTTTCGTTAGTTTACCGCGGTGAGTATATCATCACTACAGCCCTTCACAGGTCCACTGCCAAACATAGGCCTCCCACAAGGAATGCCACAAAGCACGGCCCTGAGCCTCCTGCATCCATCGACTTCCTGCATGTCTTACCAGGTCGTCACTTCATTTAGTGAGGGGTCGCCCTACACTACGCTTACCGGTACGAGGCTGCCACCCGAGAACCTTTATTCCCCAACGGTTGTCGATTCTTCGAGCTATATGGCCGGCCCATTGCCACTTCAGCTTACTAATACGTTAGGCTGTCGGTCACTGTGGTTCTACTGCGGATATCCTCATTTCTAAGTTAATCACGCAGAGAAACCCCGAGCACAGTCCTCTCCATAGCTCGCTTAAGTTCCTGTCACTCACCGCACGAAACACAACAACATTACGCTGCGGTTTTACGCATTCATGCTGCAACTGAAATAAGTTGTAACGCAGCTTTAATACGTTTGTAGAAAGCAGATTTCTACTTAAATTTACAAATTACTAACTTTTGAGGTTAAATAATATAGAGGTCCTCTATCACTATCGCCCTGCCTCCGATGATTCACAGACCATGTATATGTACAGAGTTATTTCGCAATAACCGGCCAAATTTCCAGAGAAGATTTAAAATATATAATATAGGCAAATGGTGAAGAAAAATTAATTAAACAATCTGTCATTTTTATATTTTAAATTCAAATCGCGTGCTAATGCATTATTTTAACAAATTTACTGCGCACGCACACATTCGTAAGGGTCGATCGGTAGGCAAAAATGTTGTTGTCTATAAATCACATTAAATTTAGGATAATTTCAAATAAAGGTAGAAAGCTTATTTACTCGTATTTCCAAAAACTGTTACAATGGTATATCGTCGTTTATGTATATGAACTTAAGTTTAAAATTTGGCTAGTCTTTGAAAAATAACCCTTTATATATGGAATCCAGAAAACTTAAAAGTAATTAAAACTTTTAGCCAAAAACGATTTATAATAATGCAACACAAACACAAATACATGATGAATGGTAAGTACAATTAAATGATTTTTTTTTAAATTTTTTGAACAAATATTAAAGTTAACAAATATTTCAGCTCACTAAATCCTACGTTACACTTTCACTTCGATTGACTAGTATTAAATATTTGTGTTTAGATTATATAAAATAGATCTCAATTAAGTATAGGGCAGTCTTCGTTGGAATTACGAAAGATAGTAAACGTAAACGATTGTAAATCAATAAAAAACACACATTATACTCTTAACATGTATCCTTGAATACAAAACGTCGCGTTCAGGTAACGACACTCACAAAAGTATAACTACTCGATACAATTGAAATATACAATTTAAACATAGGTAACTTTCTGCCATATTCACCAAAAAGCTATAGGTAAGTGTATTGTCTCGTGTTACTGTTCACTGAGAATATAATAACATTACTTACATATGGGAAACATACGCACGTAATTTTGGCTCTTTAATCTTCAATAAATTATCTTTATGGGGTCCATTTTTTCAAGATTATTTGTCAAGTACCACAATACTGCTGAACTATAACTTCATACAACTTTTATTGAAACTACTAGTTTTATAACTTCCAATTTACTTAAAATATTATTTTATTAAACTTTAATTTGCATGTAGATAAAGAAATAGACGAGAAAAATATTTTTCCTATCAACATGTATGTCTTCCAACTCTCTTTGGCATTCATACTCTTCGGACGGCGCTGAGGGCACTGCCGCCAGGCGGTATGAAGAGATATTATGGGGGTGGGTGGTACCAGGTAAGTCAGAGGGATTTCTATGCAAATAGCAAAACCCCGTGTAGTAAAAACATTAAGAAGCAATTTTATGTCCACCATTAAACTTTATAAGTCCCCATGTTACGGCTCAAATATAATTTTATGTAAGTACAATAGTATATAAGTAGACTCAGTTTTGCCAATTAAAAGTTTTTCATAAACTTTACAATATTTTTAAACAATCCATAATCAAATTTAAGACGTAATGTCATAATTACATCTGTAACTAGTTTTAAGACTTTGGTCAATAAGGCATTAAGTTTAATATATATTATATGTTTTACGTTAATTATTGTTCTTGTTAAAGGTTTACTTTCGATACTTGTCAGTTACATTTTAATTACAACAATATTTACAGCGACACAAAGTCGATTTTAGAACCTAGCTAGACCACTTACAATATTAAAGTAAATTAATTTAAATTTTATTACAAATATTAGAGCCAAAGTTATTTAAGAGTACGCACTTCGAACTGTTAACATTAGTAAGTTTTCTGTTAATGAAAATACAAAAGTGATATCATATAATACTAAAAGTAATTGCGTTTTATATGCTACAACTAAATATCTACAACCGTATATACACGCTTTTCTAAAGTACAATATTTAACTAATATGGTAATGTTTTAATAATTTATTTAGTTTTATTATGCGTTTTTATTTCCTAGTTTCGATGTTGAACACGTTGTTCGCAACCACCGAAAAAGTTTTTCTTACTGAAGTAGGTACTCTGATCAGTCAGATAATATGTACGAGTGTTGCTTAATATTATTAATAATTATTAAAAAAAAGTGCCATAACAGCGGAAATAGAAAAATTAATCGCTGGTATTAATTGCTTTGCTTTTTTTCCTTCGACTCCTTAATAAATAACGTGTGTCAAATATAATCAAATTAAAAATAAAAAAGAGTAAGAATAAAGGTTGATTTTTCAATCCTCAGATCAAAGTTATCCATCAAATAAATTTTAACTTGCTCAAATATAAAAGTGCAACAACTGAACTATTTTGTTCACAGAACTGTACATTTTGTGTTGTATTTTATCCTATGAATTACTTTTATCTGACGATTAAAAAATTAGTCTTCAAATATATGAATCATAACTCTGGCAAACAAACACTTTCTTATTGTCCAAATAAAAGTAAAATACAAGATCTGGTAGGTAAGTCAAATAAAATACAAGTCGAGTAATCTCACATTAGGATCAAAAGAGTCTTTTCAGTGGCAAATACAGTCTTTCTAACATTTGATAAAAATATATAAATAAAATTTAAAAAAGTATGAATTGGTATTATATATTAAAATAAAAAAAATTTTATTTATCTATAAAAATATGGAGAAGTCACGTAGTCAGACTGCTTTTTACTATAAATTTCGATATAATAACAGCAGAGTAAATGTTGTAGACGTAGCTCTTAGGGCGGAAACATACTACCAAAACGTGACGCTACGCCACGCCACCCGACGCATGTCAGTACTTATCAATTCCATATATTTAATATAGTCAGAAGCGCATAGACAACACGCTATGTGACCACACGCCGCAACATCCAATCGATTTGGATCAGCGTGTTGCCGGGAGAGGGGGGGGGGGACACGCCACCCGACGAATCAGCGCAGTGTTTCTAGTTAACACCCGACGCCACGCGTCTTTCGACATTTTTAGTTATATAAAGAAAAGAAAAAAAAATTTTTTTGTTAGTTTTTGTTTAAAAATTGGTTTAAAATGTCGGATGAAGAATTAATAGAATTAGTGAAACGGTACTCAGTGTTATATGATATGAGTTCAGTTCATTATCGTGATCATAGTATTCGAAATAATGCTTGGGAAGAAATTGCAGAACAATTGCATACTACAGGTAAGTTTTCAACAAAATGTAATTTGTCCCATTTACTTACCTACTTTCTATCAGTACCTATACAGTTTCTATTTATCATAAAAATAGGTACCTCATTAATACATTTATTAGTAAGTACCTGCTTGTTTTTAGGGTTCCGTACCTCTAAAGGAAAACAGGAACCCTTATAAGATCACTTTGTTTGTCCGTCTGTCTGTCCGTCCGTCTGTCTTTCAAGACCCTTTTTCTCAGCAACACGTCGAGGAGTTGAAATTAATACAAAGCTGCTATTCAATTCAATTTATTATAAAATACACTTTAACACAGATTTACAAAGTATTTTGTCTTCCTCTCCTTACAATATCTACTTGCCACGGAACTGCACCTTCGTTGGAATTAAAATATTCCTTAAATTTATTTCGGACAGAAAAGCATGTTGTGTAGAATTTTTGCGTAAGGTGTCCAAGTCCTCCAAAGCTGTAAGTCCCAATGGCGTCTCATTATCATCTTATGTTTGACAGTCAGATGGCAAAGTATCAATACCTAAATAATTGTGTAAGCAACATGTTGCTAAAATAATTTTGTCCACCATATCAGGTTGTACTTCCATAGGTTTGGCGAAAACGCGCCATCTTGCTCTTAAAATGGCGAAAGAATTTTTAACGATACGTCTAGCACGGCTTAGCCGGTAGTTGTATATTTTATTGGGTTCATTATTGCGAACATCATTCTTACTATACGGCCGCATTAAATACGACTTCAAGGGAAAAGCTTCATCTGCCACTATTACGTGTACTACTACACTTACTACGTACTACTACTTTAGAACAAGGCAAATTAATACGTACTAGTGCCACTAGTACGTATTAATTTGCCTTGTTCTAGACTCTCCAAGTGCAGATTCATTGAATATTCCACCGTAACTGTTTTTTCCATATGAGCTTACATCTACAACCAAGAATTTGTATTTAGGATCCACTAATGCCAGGAGTACTATTGAATTTTCTCCTTTATAATTCCAAAAATCTGACCCACCATTTATTGGACAAGTGATATTCACATGTTTGCCGTCCAATGCACCACAACAATTAGAAAAATTCCAGTAATTTCTGAATCCTTCTTCAGATTTTTTCCACATCGCGGTGGTGGGTTCTGGCATGTATATTGGGCCCAATTTGTTCCAAATTGCTTCGCAGACATCTTTTACAATTTCTCGCATGGTGGTGAATCTCATTCTATAATTGAATGCCAATGATCGAAATGAATTCCCTGTGGCTAAAAATCTGCAACAAAAGAAAAAATTACAGTTATAAATTTATTATTGTGTTCTTTATTTTTTTCCAGTGGAGATTTGCAAAGATCGATGGGGAAAATTGAGAAATTGTTTTAGCAATGCCCTTAAGAGACGCTATAAGAAGAGTGGTCAAGCCTCAACTAAAATTGTACCATGGAAATACGAAGCACAGATGGAATTTTTAAGGTCTCATCTTGAGGGCAGACCAACGATCACAAACTTGTCTGATGTAACTGACGATTCAACACAAGAGTTGCAATTCTCAGATGAAACCGAATCATCTCGTTTTAATGCAACTCCTGGTCCAAGCTCTTTTACTGTCAGGACACCGACACCAAGCTCTTCTTCTGTAAGGACTCCGACTCCAACCTCTTCATCAAGTCGAAATAAGAAAGGAAATGAAGACAATGTTGTGACAGAGATGGTTAATGTTATTAAATCTTCTCAAGAAGCGCGACAAAAGAGAATGTCAAGATGGATGAAACAGATTATTTCTTCCAGTCCATGAGTAAACAATTAAAAAAATTACCTGAGATGGACAAAGTTAATATTAAGTTTCAAATGCTAAACTTATACATGATGCCGAAATAAATATGTTAAAAAAACGCGAACAACTATTGAGGACGCCGCTACGTGTGATTCGGAACCAAACAATACAATATCCAAATATTTCGCATCTAAATACAAAAACACTGTAACATCAATGTGAGTGACAATGTAGCACATTCCGAAACAGCTCGAACATTGAATAATAATACCAATTTTTTTGTAACGAATCATCAAGATGTAAGTGACAATGTAGCACATTATGAAGTTGAAAACGAAAGTGACGAAACAAGTCTGAGATAATATTATATTAATAATAATAATAATGAATAGGCATAGATAATAAAGAAAATGTTTTGTAATTACCTGCGAGCCACTGCCAGTCTTTCTTTTGTGCTTATAACTTCACGATAACTTGTTTCTTTCTTGTAGATGTCATCTTTAATAAAGTCATGTAAAACATCAAATTCAATTTAATTCATCTGAAAATATATATGATATCTCTCACTATCTTTAACCAATTTTTTGTAAAGGGCTCTGATATATCACGCAGGCTCTTACATAGCTCTGTCTTGATTTATTTCATGAACCCAGTATCGTCTGCGTCTAGTACGTCTTTTTTTATTAACTGTTTCTGTACAAAATATATCCCCAAAATCTGTAATAAATCTTCTTCAAAATCTTCATCTAGCTCGTCTTCAAGCAGAATCGAATCCATGGCCACGTCACACGTCAATACACTTCAGTCTTTCGTGAGAGACTACACTACCCGATAGGTACGTGTTGTAGCATCGCGTGGCGTGTTGCCTATATGCACGACGAGCGTCGGGTGTCGACACAACACATCGCGTTGCGTTTTGATAGTATGTTTCGACCATTATTTTTTTATTTAATTAAAACTTTTTTTTTATAAAACAATTCGAACATTGACTTTGTAATAAATACTTAACTAGAATTTTTTCTAAAACAAAATGTAAGTCCTGTCCTGACCCAGGATTGACCTTCTGATTTTTAGAATAGCTTCAGACGTTAATCTGGAATGCTTCACGAGTGATCTTGTGGTCGTTCTGGGTGTTGAGGCTTCGTTTTCTGCGATGGTGACTCTCGCACTCTGTGTCGTCCGAGAACCTCGAAGGCGGGTGAATACGCTCGTTGAACGACGGGTAGTTTGATATGCTGCATCGGCAAGTAACTTTGTTTGGACATTTAAACGTATCAGCAATAATTATACGACTGAGAGAAACATTTAATTATAAAATATAGAATTTCAGTAAGTTTTATTAGCTAACAGTGCGTCATAATATTTTGGGATAAATCTAAACAAGCATACATATATTGTACATTAACTAAAAATAGTTAACTTAGATTAAAATAGAGGTGATATTGTTACACGAACTATTCAACGGATATACATAATAAAAAACGTAAACCGACTTCAAGTGATCAAAGATCTAGTTGATTTTTATATGATAACATTTTGAAAGATAAAGGTATATTCTGCCGATAAAAATTGTAAAGTCGGTTATTTAACTACTTCTTTTAGTTAAAACTTAACGACATATTATGTCAAATATTCAAAACATATTTATAGTCTAATTAAGAGAACACTCTTTTTTGAAAGTCGGTTAAAATTTAAAATTTACATTTAATCTACTGTTTGCAACTTAAGTTTGCTTTTAAAATTTACTAGAAATTGATGCACATGTATAGACTAATAACAGGTCCTTACATATAAAATTGGCGTTTTTTACGGAAGGAATGTAAAGTCAATTTTATTTAATTAATCAAAGTATGCACCGTTGTTATCTATTCACTTTAGCCATCTCATAGGTAGTTCATTGATCCCTTTACTAAAAAAACCATGGGGGCGAGAATCAATAAACTCTTTGAAGGTGGTTTGGACTGCCGCATTGGAGTTGAATTTTTTTCCTTGTAAGAAGTTGTCCAAATTCCAGAAAAAATGGTAATCTGTTGGAGCAAGGGCCGGGGAGTACGGTGGATGTCGCAGACATTCCAATTGTAGCTCATCTAACTTAGTGGTTGTTTGTTGTGCAGTGTGTGGTCTTGCGTTGTCGTGAAGCAGCAGAGGCCTGGAGCGATTGACCAATCTCGGTTGTTTAGCAGCTAGTTCTTCCTTCATGGTTTACAGTTGCTGACAATAGATATCTGCCGTAATCGTTTGGCCAGATTTTAGAAAACTGTAGTGAACGACACCGGCGCTAGTCCACCAAACACTCACAAGTAACTTTTTCTGAGTCAATTTTAGTTTAGGGCAGGATTTGGCTGGGTCTCCAGGATTCAGCCATTGCGACGAGTGCTTCCGATTATCGAACAGTATCCACTTTTCGTCGCAAGTAGAATCAATCGATTTTAAATATTTTCATTTTTGTGTCGGTTGAGCAAAGTAACACAGCAGTCGACGCGTGTTTGCAAATTCGATTCACTCTTTCTTTACGTGGTAGAGCCATGCTGCAGTTATATTAGTAGTATAGTTGTAGCACGAATGGGTCGGCTCGACCGGGGAAGGACCACGCTCTCACAGAATACCAGCGTGAAATAGTAGCTTAATGCTGCTGTATTTCGTATGGTGAGTGTAGAGAACCGGAGACCCTTTTTACTGGAAACGAGGCATTCCATCTCAGTCCTCACGGGTAACAACGCATCTGCATTTTGATTTTTAATGGAGGATAGATGTAGATGTCTATGGGCCGCAGCAACCACTTACCATCAGGTGGACTGTGTGCTCGTTTGTCACCCTATTCTATAAAAAAAAAAAAAAAAAAAAAAAAAAAAAAAAAAACTCAATTCGTGAGGTACCCATCGTTCAAGTTTTTTTACTTTCCCGATTAGCTTCAAGTGGATTATTACAGTTTTATTACTTACACCAAAGCCTGCAGTAACCCTGAAGAGCTTTGTGATGGATCCGCTTCCAGAATAGCCTTTAAGTCTTCATTTTCCACTTTGGTCTCCGGCCGTCCACGGGGTTGGTCCTGAAGGTCGAAATCTCCAGAACGAAAACGTTGAAACCAAAAACGTACCGTGCTTTCTTTTGCGAAACCAGTGCCGTACACATCAAAATCCTTCGAGTTGTTTCTGCAGAACTGGTGCCACGGTGGAACTCGTATTCGTAAATATACCGATATTTCATGTTTTCCATTGTGCGCTAATATGCGACGCCAAAGAAAAAATAATGAGGAAAAAACAAATGAATGACTTTTTTCAAAACTCAAATGTACCGTCTAATTAAATTTATAAATTTGAATTTGGAATTCTTAACCAAAGAGGAGATATTTCAGATCAAAGTGGTCAGTACGACAAAACGCTAATTTTATATGTAAGGACTCAATATGTGCTTATATATAGTAACCTACTAAATAAATAAGGGAATAGTTTACATGGAAAAGGTCAACGGTCTAATGGTTACGGTTTTTGCGGAAAAAATACTAGGTATGTATATATTAATCAATGGTGCAAATTACTTTAAGCATTTTAATAGTAATATAAGTAATTAAAAAAAGGCAAATTACCTGAAGGTAGTTTCATCATTGTGACTGCTATAGCCACTGGAAGAGCGCACGTGTCGCTTGCCCAGGGCCCCGGCTTTCCCCTTACGGCTCGGGAACGCCTTCCGTACAACGCCACCTACCGAGTTTTCCGACGAAGACGACGATTCTTCGCGCTCTACGCTCGGGTCTGAGCATCACAATAAGTTGGAGTTGGATTAGATTGTTCAGTTAAGGAAGGAAATTAAAACTACTGGTTTTCCCCCACGACTCGATTATATTCCACACGTTTAATATTATCACAATTATAGCCTTATATAATTGTAACACAAGTCAATAACTCAGACCACGCGTAATTGGGTGATCGCGGCAATCCGGACGACGCAGTCTTACAACAAAAACAAGTCAATTTGTGAATTGTGATTTAAGTACTTATTTAACACGCATCTACCGAAATAAAGGAAAACATCATGATTAATTCTGGATGTCAGAAAAGCAAATAAATTAAAAAGATATTTCTATATTTCCAAGATTTTCATAGTCCGCTTACACGCATATCACGGTCCAGAGTAACTAGTCTCCACTGTAAACGTTTTCATTGCATTCATAAAAGTGAATGAATGCATAGTACATTATCTAGTATAATTGTAATAAATTTACATAATGGTATGTTTAGGCAGCAGTGAAGGAAAACATCGTGAGGAAACCTGCATGTCTAAGGAATAAAAAAAATATTTCGAAGACATGTGAAGTTCGCCAACACGCATTGGGGCCAGTGCGGCGGACACTTCCTTGTCCTAAAACCCTCTCAGAAATGAGGGGAGGCATGTGACCAGCAGTGGGACGTATAGGCTGTAACTTAACTTAACTTTTTTATGTTTAGGCAAGGTGCGAAAAATATACCTTAATAAATGCTTCACCAGTCGTCACATACGCCGGTAAAACGAGTTCAAGCAAAGGCGATTTCGTTAAGTTATCATTATTAGCCCGTTAAAATTCACTGCGAGAAGTGATTCCTCATATGATTTCGCACGAAAGAACCATTGTAAGAAGGATTTGCCTTAATCGTCACGATTGACTTCAAATTGACCATTGTGGTAGCAGAAGTTTCACACCTTTGACGCTGCTTCCGTTTCTGGTCTGGAAATTTTACGCCTAGAAATCAGATCCTTTTGTATATTCCATCGTCACCTCTTATGCCGGTTGTACACGCTCGTCTCGTCGCCTCGCGTGCCTCTCGTCGTGTTGAGGCTCGACACGAGAACACACCATGTACACACTCGTTGTATCATTTGAACTCCGTATGCCCGCTGAGATGGACATAGATGAAACTGTTGCTGCGTTTTGCCTTTGTGCTATTAGTTATTATAACTTTTTACACATATACCATAAAAATAAAATTAATAAGCCATGGAAAAGAAGAAGATGGTACGAAGGAAGGTGGCGTGTACAGCCGCCATTACGATATATCAAGTTTATCTATATCATAAAATATTATGGCAGCTGTACACTCTTGTCGAGACACCACGAGACAGACCGAGTACGAGTGTGTACATGGTGCTCTCGTCGCGTCGCGTCGTCTCGCATCTCGTGGCCCTCGTGCGCTCTCGGAAGCCTGTCGGTTTTTCGTGCTCGAGTCAAAGGGTCTTGTGAGTCTCGCGATGAAAACGAGGGCTTACTCTATTCTATTCATCGTACATGGTTCTGTCACGGTAAATAGAAACCATCCACCACCTCCTATTCATCATGGCTTATTAATTTTATTTTTATGGTAAATGTGTAAAAAAATTAAATAACTAATAGCATAAAGGCGAAACGCAGCAACAGTTTCATACAGGTCCATCTCAGCGGGCATACGGAGATCAAATGATACGAGTGTGTACATGGTGTGTTCTTTACACGACGAGAGGCACGCGAGGTGACGAAACAAGCGTATACAGCCGCCATTAAGTTGATTAAACAACTCCACAACAAATAAAAACTAGTCCAGATTCAGATGGATGAAACGATGCGTCGCACATACGCATTTGCAAATAGAAGGCATGCCTCGTGATAGATGGCATGCGTTGCGATAGAGGGCATGCGTTGCAATTACTGGTCACAACATTGAAGTAAAAGAGAAACGTTTAACAAAAAAAAAATGACGGGTTGCACTCCGGGAGTGCCGGCAGAAGTGAAAACTTGAATATTAACGTTGTGCATTTTTGATATTTTGGAATGATTAGGGAATAATTTTGCACGAATTGCTTTAATTATCACACGAACATTCGGGCAAGCGCCCTGCGCCGCCTAAACGAAACAGCAGGCGCAGGCATAAATTTTCGCCACGCCGTAGAAAGAGAGGGAGATACTTCCACTCCTACGCTGCGCCGGTTGTCTCTGTCTCTCCATCCGTCTTACGAATTTTCGATCAGGATCACGTGTCCTGACGCGAGTTTAACGTTTTTTACCCATTACAAAAAAGTGTACAACGTCGCTAAAGAAGTTTTCACTTCAAAAGAAAAAAGAAAGAAAATTACAGGTGGTGGGGTGCGCGGGGCGTAGTCTCGCCGCCGGTTCGCTGTCGGAGTGCGGCGCGCTGGCGTCGTCGCTGGCGTCGTCCTCGTACTCTGTAATTGGCAGGTGCAGCGTTAATATCTTCTTCACCTCCGAGTCCGTCGAGCCCAAGTTGTCCGACTCTGCAACACAAGCCCGCATCTCAAGCTGGTGCCATCACAAGGTGTACGATGAAGCTGTTCTTATATTTACACGAAAACTCTTACAATAAATCATTTCAATCTTGTCTCAAAAAAGAAAAAACAACTTTGTTATTCCTATTAAACTTCAATACTGAATAAAATTGACGAGTTTTCGTGAATAATATCAACAGCGCTAAGTAAGTGAGAAACACACCAAAATGAGTAATACGATGTAAGTAATAATGATTAAAAGAACACAGTGAATGAATAAATGGGTGCTGGAATATATATGTGTAGCTGCTAAACGATAACAAGCTTTTTGGTCATTCATAGCTCTATTCAATCGAATGATGACAATGAATCGATTCACTAAACTGGATAAAAAATAAATCGGACGATCAATTGAAATTAATATCGAATATTAATACGAAACACTGTGTGCATGCTTACCTTTATAAATTACAACACCAGTTACGCTCCCATCAGGTTGCATAAAAGGCGATCAATTTGTCAAATTCAAATTTCTGTACTTAAAACTTAAATGGGTTAAAGTAAATTTAATCGATAGAAAGTGCAATCTACTAACTAAACAAATGTAGCTAACTACTCATATATAAGCTTGGTTTAAATTGTTGCATACTAAGTTTAGTTGACGTATCGTATCGTACAAACCTTGACTTTCCGAATGTGGATCTCGGAGTCTCGCACCTTTTCTTCGTACTTTAGTGTATTCTGGTTCTTTTCCCTAATAAGGAAACAGTTAAGTAATATGAAGTAACATGTTTTTTCAAATAATAATAATAATTAAGTTGCACATAATAAATAATATTAAAATTATATCTATGATTTATTTTGAAATATATGTTATCATTTTAAAATATATGAAATGTTATCATTTTAAAACATATGATGATGTGAATGAATGATACAGGAATTAATAATTTTTATTACAAACAATTTAACTAAAGTAAACAAAATACAGATATTTCTTGGACTTTTGATAATATTTACTCAGAAAAATATTGACAATTATAAAGCCCGCAAGAATAAATTGAACAAGAAAATTATCGTTGTCATTGATTCAAATATTTCAGTGACTTTAATATCGCTGTCAAAGTTTCTCTACGTTTAAGTTAGCATTATTTTAAGTTTTATTTTGTCTATTTTTGTAATTTTTTTAATTAATTGTAAATACAAAATGATATAAATTATTAACTAGTTAACATTACCTCATATTGTCATTAATTCTGCTAGACACATACGTGGCGGTCCCATAATGAATTGGCCTAACTATGAACCAATGAAGGAAATGAAACGAAACCAATTTTATTTTTCAATATAATCACCATGAATACTAACACACTTCTGACATCTGTGAATCAACATCTCTAAACCTTTATAAAAATAATCACATTTTTTATCCTCAAAATGACTGAAGGCGGCCGCCTGCAACTCTTCATCGCTTGAAAATTTTCTTCCTCTTAAGTCCCGCTTTAAATTTGGAAATAAATAATAGTCGGACGGGGCCATGTCTGGACTGTAAGGTGGATGTTGAACTTTTGTGAACCCGAATTGACGAACTGCATCCTTCGAAACACCAGCGGTATGAACAGGGGCGTTGTCATGGAGCAACAGGACACCTTTAGACAGCTTGCCTCTTCGTTTTTCCTTTATCTTGTCTCGTAATTTATATAGTAAAGAAGCATAATATTCGCCGTTCACGACTGTATTACGTTCTTTAAAATCCACCATCAAAATGCCTTGAAAATCCCAAAATATTGTGCACATCAGTTTTTTAGTCGATTGTTGCACCTTTGCCTTTCTAGCGGGCTTTTCACCCTTATAACGCCATTCCATTGACTCGCGCTTGCTTTGTGGATCATCATACAAGATCATAGTTTCATCACCAGTCACTAGCCGCTCGATCACAGTCTTTGCATTTTCGCCACAAAGATCCAAAAACTCCGAAACGCAGCGCACTCTTTCCTGTCTCTGTACCGCTGAAAGAAGTTTCGGTACCCATCTTGCACTCACTTTTTTCATGTGAAGATGTTCATGGATCGCGCGATGAACGGTACTCTTAGAGAGCCCAAGCCTTGCTGCAATTTCTCTAATCTTCAAACGGCGGTCACTCAGAACATCCTCTTCGATAAGAGCAATCGTTTCGGGAGTGAGCACTTCCACAGGTCGACCGTCGTGGCCAAAGTCTTCGACGGTTTCTCTCCCGAGGCGAAACTCTTTCATCCAATTTTTCACTGTGCTATAGGAGGGGGCAGACTCCTTATATACGCCATCCAATCGTTCTTTTATTTGGGCAGGGGATAAACCTTCTTTAAACAGAAACTTTATGACACTTCGATACTCAGTTTTCGACATTTTGAAAAAATACGCGACTCTCGTTATTCAAATGCCTGTTAAACTAAGAGTAAGCATTTCATGTCGGTGCATGTTTCTTATATTAAGTGCACGATAAACGTACTATTTAATGCAACACAACATGTAGCGACATGTCGCGTTGAACTATATCAGGCCAGTTCATTATGGGACCGCCTGGTACATCAAATCGCAATTATAAATTAGAAATTCAACGCATTTTCAACACCGGGCGTATGATCACAAAAGATTAGAATGTATTTTTTAATTCATTAAAGGTTTTCAAAATACTCATTAAAAAAGAAAGTCATTTATGCTTTACCTGCTTACCAATGGCCATTATTATTTAAAAATTAGTGTTCTTTCATATAATTTATCTAAAATATGTTGAACGATACCAATATAAAATATGGACGTAAAAACAAACACTTATTTTGACATGTAAAATTTATGGTAAAAATAAAAATTACAGTTAAATAGGTCATAGCAACAACTAATTTATATTGAATAAAACTAAATTTACGGATTTTATCGCGTTTATTTCATTACTTTTACTTATTTTTAATTCCCGACGTTCCCGACGTTCGAAACGACGGGAACGTAAGAATTAAAAATAAGTAAAAGTAATGAAATAAAAGCGATAAAATCCGTAAATTTAGTTTTATTCAATGTGTAGTGTTCGCGTAAATTTAAGAAATCATTAACTAATTTATATTTTAAATTTTGTAACTGTAAATTTCGAACTTTGCCTATTAATTCCTGTCACCTATCATCTTTGCTTACCATAGGTCATTTTAGAGATTTTGAAAGAGCTTAAAGTTTAGTTCAGAGAAAATTAGTCTGTATTCGACATTGAGCTTATATGTTAGGATTCTCTGTCTACGTTATATGTTATATGTACTACGTACTAGAGGCGACACTACATTCAGCTACTCTGTTCCTCTCAACTGCGGTGCATACACCGCACTTTAATCAGTCAGTCAGTCACTCGCTAGACGCTAGGCGCTTGTAGAGTTGTCACGTGTTGTGTTAATTTAAAAAATCTCTTGATAAAAATATGCCGTCGTGTGTACTTAGATATTGCACAAATAATTCAAGAAATGTCAGTAAAAACCAAGGAATTACTTTTTGTCGGTTATAAGATACTTAATCAATAAAAAAGTATTATAGATTAATAATAAAACAAATTATTACTAAGATGCCGTTTCGTGTCATGGATTATAGATTATGAAATTAATATGTTCAGATGCGACATTTCTTTGGGTACTTAAGTATAGGACGAATATATTATTATAGACATTTTTTTGTAGAAACTTAAGTTATTACAATTAGCCCAAATTTTTCATATTTAAATCTGCTTATTATTCTTTTATTTTATTTTTAGGATTTGACTTCAAGGTCAAAGTGGAATAAATTCGTCCATTTTTAACTCTCGCGTGGCCAGCATTTATGAACGACTCTTATTCTAATTTAAATATATATATTTGTAATTTAAATGTTACATTAATATATTTTGTTAAACATACATTTAGTATGTTTTTATATTTGACATATGTAGATAAGGTATCTAAAATATTTAGATAAAAATATCATTAAAATATAATTGTGATATAACATTATGTTATGTTATATTATATAAGCAAATATAATATACAAAATAAATGACAAAATTTAAATATTGTTCTCTATATAATTTACCTATATAACAATACAATCTACTATTACCTACGGATCATTCTACCTATGTTTATTCTATGATAAAAAACCAACCGCGCGAACACAGAGTAGCGCACATTTTTTGTTTGAGATAGCTGTTCTAGTACGTAAGTACACATTACTTCAATGGTATTCGATAGTTTAGTAGATTGAGGGTGTAGATTGTTGCTTACAAAAGCTGTTTTAATTATTAAATATTTTATTCGTTTTCTATTCATAGATATATATAAAATTACATTAATAATAATTCTTATTACGAATATAAATAAGTTTACATGCATTAACTATAGGTACTCGTATTATTATATAATAGGGTTATTTTGCAATAACCGGCCAAATTTATAGAGAAAGGTCAGACTAAGTAATAGAGGCAAATGGCGAAGTAAAAATGAAAAAAATCTCAAACATTCTGTCCTTTTTATCTTTTAAATTCAAAATGCTTGTTAATGCATTATTTTAACTGGTTTTAATGCGCACGCATATTCGTAAGGATCGATTGGTAGGCAAAACGATGTTGCCCATAAATCACATTCAATTTGGGTTAGTTTTAAATAAAAGGAGTAGATTTATTTACTCGTATTTGCAAAAACTGCAATATATCATTATTTATATATTTGAACTTAGGTTTAAGATTTGGCTACTCTTTAAAAATAACCCTGTATATTATTGAATGAGTTTTCTTCAAGTTTATATAATTTTGTTATAAACAGACGTTCGAGCTATTTTTACCTTATATTTGTCGTTTTGCTTCAGATCGTGGTACACAAAAGAGCCGCGAACGGAATGATAAGGGCCGCTGTACACGTTGCCGCTGTAGCTGCTCTCGCTGTAAGCCGTAGGCTTCGTCAGTTGGAACGTAGCGTAAGGACAAATGTCTTCTATGTATTCTGTGAATTGAAACAAATAAGTTTATTATTTTTATACGTATTTTCGGTATCAATAAGATTTATTAATTAGGGAAATACTATTTAAAAATTGTTGCCTAAGCTATAAAACTTGTACATAGAATATGACGTATATACGATATAAGGACGAGAGAGATGAAACGCTTGAGTGTTGACGTAAGACTGTCTGTAATTACGTTATTAATAAGTTTATATATTAGATTATACCCACACATACGTATAGGTACTAGGTAGATACTACACCTTCCTTCCCAAAGAAAAAAAAAAAAAGAAATGAATATGTGCATTTCTTTGTTTTTTTAATAATACTAACATTTAAAATTACACAATAATTATATTCTAATTTATAAAATGTAAACATGGGTAAAAGCATAAACAAATAGTTAAAATAATATTTAAATTAATATGATTACAATTGGTATTATAATACTTAGTAATTAATATTAAGGTAAAGTAACAATAATTAATAAAACTTAATATAATATTTTATTATAATAATAATCGATTAAGTACACAATGTCTGAAATGTATTACTCAACAACTATAATATTATTACAATATTATATATTATGTAACCTTTGTCCCATATCAATGTCGAGGTTACAGTCTTGTACATAAATTTGTCACAGTTTATCAGTGATAAACATCCACTTACGCTTAAATATTTTCCCATATTTTTTTTCACAGTAAAAGTGTAGTACATTTTAAACTAAGTGACTTACTCGTAGGCATTAAGTAATTTAGTCACTTAAATCATTTTGTAATCATACGACTTTTCTAGTCTGAACAATAATAACACTCTTCTCATTTTCACATTTCAATATTTCATTTTACTTCAAATATTTATTTATTCTTTGTTAACCACTAGTTATTTTCCATTTTACTCCACAGCAATTTGCTATTTATTAAATATTTATGATATTTGTCTCACGTACACGGCTCGGCATGCATACATGGTCAAGATTATGGGCAATATTACTATACAATTCTAAAAGAAAACTCTCATTTCCGTCATTACTAATACATTAAAACTCATCCCGCATTTTATAGTATCCGAACAACCTCAAAAAATTAATCGGTTATTAGGTTTTCCAAACACTCAGCTGATCAGGCCGATTGTATGTGGATATGCTAACCCCCGATAATTTTTATTTCCTTTGCTCACACCTACATACTGTCAATATTTTTTATTTATAATTATGTATTCCATATCTTATTCATAAATTTTCGTACGTCTTTCACAAATTTATATCTTACAGTCTAGTATAATATTTAGTTACATTATTGTCAGTCAGGGATTGGGGCTCACAATATGGGCACAACAAAATTTAAATCAATTAATTATATACATTATGTAATGAGTTTCAAAATTGTATTAAACGAAGTAAATATTCTCATAATCCACCAGTACTTACTTGTACTATTTTAAAGTAATAAATTATAATAGTTTAAAATCTTTAAAAGTTAAACATAATAAAAACGAAAATAAATTACTATATATCATATTAAAATTAAGAGAACAAAGAAATAATAATGGGGACATAAGTCGTCATCACTAGGTACCATAACAACAGACAGATCAAAATACAAATTGCAATCTTAGCAGTGCTAGCGATTTGAGACACCTTTGTTTTAAATTCCAAAGTACGTATCGAACTATGACTACACGGTGTGATTCACACCTAATTTTAAGATAACAACAATATATTATAACATGAATATATTATAACATAAATTTCCTTTAAAATTAATAATATCGAAGTAGGATCGTAGTACTGATCAAATTTAAATATTTAGTGCATCTCCATAACAGTGCGTATATCAACAAGTGCATTGTTAAGCTAAATAATTAAACTTATAACATATAAACATTTAGTGGTGACCTTTATGTGTAACAGTAATAGTGTGATAAGTTGTGGTATTGGGAGGTAGTTTCATTCTACCGTCTCATATCACATGTACACTATCAACTGAATATTAGAAGCCGTATTTCGCTAATTTAGACAATAACAAATTGGCGCATTGCGTCGTGCGCTTGGTCTACGAACCGCAGGACCCGACTTCAAATCCAACGCACCGAAAATAAAAATAAATTTTTCTACAAAATTTTAAATTTAAATTTTAAGATTAAGCAAAATAATTAGTAATGTCTTCCAAAAGTAAGTTTGAATGTTGTCATCGATTTCCAAACTCAACAGAAGTAATGTCGTGTTGCACATGCAAAAAGCGATATCACTACAACTGTATTTCTACAACCAAAACTTGTTACAATGAACTAACTGAGAATTATAAGAGTACATGGCTATGTCCGATCTGCGCCAGACCAAAAAGCGACAACACTAATACTCCAATTAGAAGCTCCCTAAATCACACGGCTTTAGAGGAACATGCTAACCAAAGCTGCAACGTCACTCGTCGCGTAAAGGATAGCGAACGAAAAATAAAGGTACCTACTACTACTACGGCAGAACTAGATCTTGATAACGTTCGGTCTATAGTCAGAGAAGAAATGAAATCGCTGCTGGACGTGTTCAAGAAAAGTATACTCGATGAATTTACCGCAAAAACTAATGAAGTTCTGGCTTCAATCAATTTTCTTGAAGACCAATACGAAAGTATTAAAAATGACCTTTCGGCCAAAAACGAAGTGATTAAGTCGCTACAATCTGATAATAAAATTTTACAGGCCACAGTAGGCGATCTGAAAACGAGACTTACATTACTTGAAAATCAATCCAGAGCCAGTAACCTAGAAATTCAATGCATTCCCGAACATCGATTCGAAAATATTGTCTCGACAGTAAAACAACTGGCCGCAACCGTTAAATGTAACATATCTGACACTGACATACAGAGTTGCAGCCGAATAATGAAGTTCAATAAGGAGAGCCCTCGACCACGCTCTGTAATAGTCAAATTCAGTAGCCAAAGAATCCGAGATACTTTTCTTGCAGCTACAATAGCTTTTAACAAGCAAGCAAAATGCAACGAGGACAAACTTAATACCAGTCACTTAGGAATTGGAGGAAAAAAATGTCCTATATACGTTGCCGAACACTTGCCACCGGCCACAAAGGCATTGCATGCAGAAGCACGAATCAAAGCCAAGGAACTTAAATACGAATTCGTCTGGATTAAGAACGGTCGAGTTTTTATGCGAAAAAGTAAATCATCGGACTATAAACTTATTAAAAATTCGGAATCTCTTTTAAATTTATCCTAGCTTACTGATAATAATCTTTGACATGTGTTGGTAAACTAATTTTTTCATTAAATTCGATTCATTAAAATGTTATTATCAAAATGTCCGAGGACTTCGCTCTAACTTAACGGATGTAAATAACCAAGTTCTTAACTCAAACTATGATATAATTATTTTAACTGAGACTTGGCTTAATAATAGTGTGTACGATGCTGAGATCTTTGACGATAGATACCACATATATAGACGCGATCGCGAAACATCTCTCCTTTCTAGTCATAAGAAAATTGGTGGCGGAGTTTTGATAGCAGTAAAAAAAGAACGGATTAAACTCGCGCAGACAAATTAGTTGGGAAAGTCTTGGTGAAGACTTATGGGTCACAATTGAACTTAACGCTAGTAATTTAACGGAATACTTACATGTGTGCGCAGTATATATCCCACCACCGGTTGATCGTAACACACTCGAAACATTTATTAATAACACTACGGAAACCATAAATAACAATAATCTAAGTTCGGCTAAAAACTCAATTTTGCTGCTTGGTGACTTCAATATGAGTTCTATCACGTAGGCACCTCAACCCGATATTAACGGTCAGTACGCATCCCCAAGTAACTACTCCAACTGTCTTCTTAAAAGTAGTTTAATAGATTTTTTCACTTTGCACGATCTGAATCAATATAACACTATCAGGAATGCGAGTGGAAAGATATTAGATCTAGTCTTGTCTAATGCAAACATCAATGTAGTCGAAAGTCAGTTTCCTATACGCAACGTAGACATTTTACATCCACCATTAGAATTTTTCTTTACAATCAACGTATCAACTAATTTTTTCCGCAACTAAGAATAAATGTTCCCACAATTTTGAAAGAGCTGATTTTCATTCCATTATAGCATTCTTGAATGGTGTTGATTGGCTACAAACTTTAGGCGTACTTAATAATGTAAATGAAATGATATCGAAGTTCTACGAAATCCTGCAGGTAGCTATAGACAGATTCGTTCCCAGATCGTGCAAATCGTCAAAATCTTATCCTATCTGGTTTACACCCGCTCTAATTAGACTCATTAAACAGAAACACAAATGTCATAAAAAATTAAATTATATAATAATCCACTAGATAAAATTGAATTTTCTTACCTAAGGAAGGATTGTCATAAACTAATAAAAAATGTTATTATAATTATATTTTACATATCGAGGAATCTATTAGCAATAATCTGAGGTATTTTTGGACACATATGAAAAACATGCGTCGTAAAGGCTCAACTTACCCTAATAAAATGTCTCTGAATGATCGTGAGGCAAACGGTAGGCAAGAAATATGTGATTTGTTTGCAAGTCATTTCTCATCGATTTTTATCAAGGATGATATTAATAACAATTTTGATACACAACCAGTCTCCAAACCAAACAAATATTTAGGCAATATTTACGTATCTAAACGAGAAATTAAGAAAAGGCTGAAAAGATTAAATACAACAAAAAGTGCAGGTCCAGACGGTATTCCGCCTATATTTATATACAGGTGTGCAAATTCATTGGCTGCTCCGTTGACTATTATATTCAACACCTCCTTGAGCTCTGGCATTTTCCCCGAAAGGTGGAAGGAGGCGCGGATAGTACCAATTTTTAAAAGCGAAAATCCCACAAGTGTTTCTAATTATAGACCGATTTCCATATTATCTACTATGTCAAAGGTCTTTGAGAGCTTGGTCTATGAATCTGTTTTCAAAAATCTAGGACGACGTATTAGTTGGCAGCAACATGGT